AGCAAGTAGTCACAAGGAGGGATCATTCATGCTGTCTCTCACTACTCTGTGTCTTGACAGAGTAGCAAGATTTTCACTTCATCGAAAGAAAACAAACATAAAACTTCATGTTTTAAATGGATATTTGAAGTCTCCCCCTGAAAACAATTTTCAGAACATTCTGGCAGGCCCTGTCTACAATGAAGGGTTGTACTAATGCCAGTCTCTAGAACTAGCTCAAAGGCCTTGCTACATTTCTTAGTGTTGTCCTGTGATGGACAACAGTGTCGAGGGATACCTGACAGCTCCTGATTTTGTCTGAAAAAGTGGGAACTGTTTTAGCAAAGCTTGAGACAAACTAGCCAGGAGCTTTTCTTGAAGTGATATCAGAGCTTCCCACCCTTCGAGTCACTGACACAGGGAGGAATCCCAAATGTTTTGATATTCAAAACAAAGAACTTGATAAGACTACAAAAGGACCATCTTTGACATCTTTGAATCCAACCAGGATAGGGAGGATCTCTCAATCTCAAATTCAGTTGGGAGTTTGGTGCTTCTACTCCCAAAGTGGGCTTTTGAGGTGGCTGCTCGGGGGCATCGCTTGGCAGCTCTCAGAGCAGGAAAGTGTTGGCACAGCGGGAGACACAAGTAGCAGCGAGGTTTAAACGTGTGTTCCTCTTGACGTGAGAGGGTTTCATTTTCTCCTTTTGATTCCTCAGGATGCCACAAAGGAAATATCTCCACAGAAATACTTGGGAAAAGGACAAATTACAGACAGCAGCACCCTTGCCTCGCTGGCTTCTGAGGTGTGAAATGCAAGTGCAAGATCTGAGCAATGGTGAGTCATTCTCACCATTAGGAAGGAGCTTTTTGGAAGCATGAGGCCCAGAAGCTGGCAGCTGTCACTAGCATGGCCTAGCACTAAAATATGGTGGGTTTGAAGGTCCAGGGATCCCACACACAGATGTCAATATGTGGAAATTTTGGAGGGTAGTGGATAGAGGAGAGGAGTTCTTAATTGACTGCAGCTGAAATAAAAATATGACTTAACCAGAGTTTCTCATGTGAAATCTCTTGACTGGATGACATTTCTGCAGATAAGGCAGGGAGTGCTAATGGCACAGATACTGTTATGTCTTTTTTTCTCAGACAATGAATTGCAGATGTCAAAAAGACCATGAATGAGATGTATTTATCTCACAGGTTCCATTAAGTGCGAACTAGCAGAGCTTGAGTCATATGTGTATATCAAAAAAAGATAGTTGGGGGCTATTATAGGAACCTTGTATTACTGTGTGCATAATCACTGCCTGAAACAATTCTTTCAGAGGCTTTCTGACTACTTGAGGGTTGAAGGATCTGTCCCTTGGGCAGGACAGATGGGTTGGTTTGGCTTGGAATTCTGCCCACATAAACCATAACCTTCACAGTAATGTTGGTCTGTGCTTGGAAAGCATGGTCAACCTTATCAGAGCTTTAGGAAACAAGGCAAGCTCTTTGCCTTTAATTTAAAGTTCTGATGCAGAACTGGGCCCTACTAATGCCTACAAGAATCTAAAAACTGATACAGCCTTTTCATCATCCAGAAAACTCATAAACCACTGATGCAGTAGGAGGAGCAAATGTTTTGGAAATGATGCCATAAAATGCTACTTAAAAAGATCAATTTCTAAAAAGTAGATAAAAAGCAAGCATGTTAAGTAATGTCGTAAAGCTTGTCCTCTCTAGTGAAGTCCTGTTATGAAAATGGATACGGAAACAGAAATTGTTTCAATGTCCCCTCAAGGCACATGGATTTTAAAATAGAAGCCAGAATTACTATGTCAAATAGCAGGTGATCAACTGCTACTGGATTTAATCTACCCACTCTTTTGTATGGTTGAGCTCTTCACAGGTCCAGGCTACTAGGAATTTAAGGACCTAATGCAATGCACAGCGTAAGGCTACCTGTCTTATTGCTTGGTATTAATGCAGCCATCCTCCATGTCCTCCAGCTCTGTAGACAGGCTTTGTCAGCATGTCAGGGCAGCATCAGTGCACTGCATCCAAATGCTAAATATAATGTGTTCAAAATGCTACGTATAGTGTGTTTGGCAGACAATAGCTTTGCCTCTTTCAATCAGACATGAGAGAAGAAATTAATTTAAGAGCCTATAGATTTTAAGTAAGGCAGAGTATTCCTGGCAGTAGTGTTGCTGTGAGTGTGTGGAGATTAGGTGCATTGCTGAGAGATTTCTTGTGCTTTTGCTTAAGATCTTGGAAACTTGTTTTTATAGAAAGCTTTGGTTTTCTTTTTAAAAGCAGAGAGTTTCTGGTCTCAAAGTTGCCAAGATACTAAATATGCTCTGACAAGCCCTTACATGTATTTTTGAAGACAGTGTTTTTTTATAGCCACTTATTTGCTATTCAAAGGCATTATAGGTTTATTTTTTTAAAAGCAAACTGAAAATACTGTCTTCTGCGTTTCAAGCTTAATGCTCCTTCCTTCACCTCCTTCCACTCCACCCCCCCCTATATATATATGTATATATGTATATGGTAGCAGGAAGAGTAATCTCTTTTCCCTTCCTTCCTAAGACTACAAAAGGTTTGCAGCATCTGGCACATCTTGCCCCTTATAGGTGACCTCATCTGTAAAATTAGGGTTGTTTTGACTTAACTAGATTGCTGTGAAGCGTTCAAAACTCAGGTGCTCAGGTGTTACATATTTCTTTTTTATTTATTTGTGTTTAAGGAAGACAAAGCAAGCCAAACACACACACACACAATCTGGATGGAATGGCTGCTGCTAGGTACTTTAAAAGGACAGAATTATTTTTATAATTAAATATACATGTACCAAAAGTTCTGTTTGAATGTATTTGTCATGCTAGCTCGTTAAAGGTGATGGTAAAATAAACCAGAGGGGAAACAGCCACTGGGTTTTAGTGAGCTGATTTTATTCACCAGTATCTTTGTCATAACAACATCCACCATTAACTGGTGTGACTGTTAAATGGTTTTGGCTTATCTGTTAGTAAATAGCAATTAGCACATCTGAATGAAGTAAAAGTACACTACTTGTCCTAACAGAATGCTCCTAATAAAATGTCGTAGTAAAATGTAGTGTTTCTTCAACCTGACTGAGGGCCCTCAACCTTGCAAGGAGTTACCTTAGGCCAGCATCCCAGGTAAGGGGAGGGGAGAGAGACTCATGGTCCAGGTAGAGGAGCTGCTCTTGTGCCCTTCCTGGTCCCTGCTCAGCTCATCAGTGTTGGACCTTGTCCTTTATACCATTAAGAAGGTATGACTTTGCTATGGCCATCATTGTAATGTGATTCTTCCAGAATCTTCAGGCAAGTTCCTCAAGATGATCTGCCCTTTGCACCATCAGCAAGGCGAGTTTTGATTCTTCAGCGAGATTTGAAAATATATCAGTTCTTCAGCAAGTTTGCACATTTTAGCGAAGTGAGACCGCCCTGTCTCTGCAGGACTTCCCAGCTCCCTTCCTTGCTGGTACGGGAAAGTATGCAAAAGTTTCCACCTCATGTCCTTGGCACATCAGCAGTGGTCTTGCAGTTTCAAACATGAACTCGTTGCTTGCCCATCTGTATAACATTCATGCACTAGACTCCATGTCATGTTTATGGGTTTGTATCTCTCATGAGAGAAATCCAGAATTCTTACATAATTCTCCAGCAACAGATAAAACCTCTCTAATAGTGTTATATAGCGGACAACACTTGGCAGTGCTGTTTCTAAAAGAGTCTATATCTGGATGATTTGTGAAAAAAAATCCCAAAGTTACCTGTTAATGAAAAGTGTAAGGACAGTGAGAAAACACAACAAAACAACAAACCAAATCTGAGACCAGGCTTCCTGTGAAATTCCTGAAATGTTTGTAATGAAAGTTTGAGTATCTGTAGTGAACATGTTACTGTTTTGTTTTACTTGTTTCTCCACTATCCTATCACAATTAATGGTTTGGATGAGTAGTCTGTGAGGGTTTTTTTGTAGGACAAACCAAGACTGTGTTCAGTTATGTTTGTAATTTACAGAGCTTTCCTGTTTTGTAACTGTTTTGTAAATTCTAAATTTCTGATGTCACCGAAAATCTAGTTAATTAACTCAAAATTGAAAGAAGCCTCAGAAGAAAAAAAATTCTCTGAATCTGTCAAACAAAAGGGTATTACTAGACATGTTTTAAACATTATTTTATACTCCTCCATCTTTGCTTTTTGAGATTATTTGTCTGTGATAACAGGAAGGTATGGATGGAGGTGTTTCCTTCAGTACTTGAGAATGGGCTGAATGGCAGAGCTCAGAGGGTTGTGATGAGTGGTGCAGAGTCTGGTTGGAGGCCTGTGGCTAGCAAGGTTCCCCAGAGGTGAGTAGTGGGCCCAGTCTTGTTCAACTTACTCATCAGTGCTCTGGGTGAAGGGGCAGAGGACACCCCAGCAAGTTTGCTGGTGGTACAAAGCCGGGAGGAGTGACTGATACCCCAGAGGGCTGCACTGCTATTCAGAGAAACCCAGACAGGCTGAAGAGGTGGGCAGAGAGGAACCTCTTGAAGTCCAACAGAGGCAAGTGCAGGGTCCTGCACCTGGGGAGGAGTAAGCCCAGGCACTAGCACAGGCCGGGGGTTGGCCTGCTGGAGAGCAGCTCTGCAGTGAAGGACCAGGGAGCCCTGGTGGACAACAAAGTGACCACAACCCTGCCATGTGCCCTTGTGGCCAAGAAGGTCAAGAGCCTCCTGGGGTGTGTTGGAAAGAGCGTTGCCAGCAGGTCAAGGGAGGGGATCCTGCCCCTCTGCCCAGTCCCCGTGAGACCAAATCTGGAGTACTGTGCCCAGTGTTGGGCTCCTCAGCACAAGAGGGACATGGAACTATGGAGAGAGACCAGCGTGAGGCTATGGAGATGATGAGGAGACTAGAGGGTCTCTGCTGTGAGGAGAGCCTGAGAGAGCTGTTGGGGTTAGCCTGGAGAAGAGAAGACTTAGAATCTTATCAATGCATATAAACACCTTAAGGGAGGGTGTCAAGAGGACAGGACCAGACTGTTTTCAGTGGCGCTCAGCAACAGGACAAGAGGCAACGGGCACAAACAGAAACACAGGAAGCTCTGTCTGAATATGAGGGAAAGCTTCTTGACTGTGAGAGTGACGGAGCACTGGAGCAGGCTGCCTAAGTAGATTGTGGAGTCTTTCTCTGGAGATGTTCAAAACCCACCTCGATGCAATCCTGTGCAGTGTGCTCAGGTGACCCTGCTTGTGCAGAGGGGTTGGACTAAATGATCCCCAAAGGTCCCTTCCAACCTCTACCCTTCTGAGACAGTGAAGAGAATTTGGCCATTCAGACATTTTCTGTTCTAATTCAGAGGTAGCCACTAAAGCATCCCAGGAGAAGTCATTTACCTGTATGCAGTTCTGCTGCTTTCCAGCTATTTGCCTCCAGATGCCACTGCTCACATTAGCTATATCAAGCCTTGCTTGATATTCAGATGTGGAAAATACTTTTAGACACTTTCTCCCTGTTTAATTATTAACTGTAGCTTTTCTTGACTGAGACTAAATAAAAATGAAAAAGAATTTTTACAGTCTGAGGTTTGAGCCAGTTCCCACAGGGTCCTTGGAGAGTCTTTCCAATTATTTCTCTTCATCTGGGCTCCTGAGTTTAGCAATTAATCTTTCTTCATAAATAAATCACTGTTATGCACTAACCCTTTTTTGTTACAGTTCCTCCTTTTTTTTCTGGGTATTTCTGCAATATTCTTCATGCAGTCTCACAAGCATAATGAGCAGATGGAAATGCTACAGTTACAGATGATAACTGTTTAAATGGAACTGTTTGTCTTCTTTTGTAACAACAAAACTGATGAACATGAAGATGAACTTCTCACTGATTTTTCTTCTCTCTTTCCTCAAATAGCCCAGCAGATATTCCACAGAATGTAAAGGATTCCAAGGAGGGTTTACAGAGAAGAAGGGATAGGGCAGGAAGAGAGAAGGGACAATAATTCAACCCAACATTTCAGGAAAGAAGACCACAGTCCTTTCATCCACTCCACAACTCTCTCCAGTTCCAGATAGATAACAACAGACTATAAACCCTGTTGTGTGTGTGTGACTCTGAAACTGGAACCTGTTTTCTTTGCTCATGTATTTATTTCCCCTTTTCTGATATGTAGTGATCTTAACATGGAGTGAGTGACACACACTGTTTTTTCGTATGGCTGTTTCCTAGTTTGTGGTTGCTTTACTTTTTGCAGTGAGCTTTCTGTTTCCTCCAAAGCATTAAATTTGACATGACGCATGGCAAATAGATTGAGTTAAAGTGGAAGGGTGAGTTTAATGCAGAGCTCTAACATTTGCAACTTAGCCAAGATTTCTCTCATAAATAATGGAAGAGTTTGCACCGGTGGCTGCTGGGTGTAGGAGTCTCCTCCAAGCAGCTCCCACGCCTTGGTGCTCCAGGGTAGGCGTTGCAGAACACTGCAGAGCAATCCAGGCAAATTGAGGGCAGGGGTAGGAAGGCTGCCTTCAGCTGTGGGATGAGCTATTCAAAAAGATGAAAATTATGGAAGACCTGAGGTAAAGATTCCAGCATTAAGAAGAAATAAAGGTTCTTTCTGAGGGTGCGGAAAGAAAAAGTAGAATATCAAAATTAAACAAAATCTAAGGATAGCAGTCTTTAGCTTTTTTTGTTTTGTTTTGTTTTCCATAAGGAAAACAATTTTTCAAAGGAAACAAACAGCACTGGAAATTTCCAGCCTTAATGGGTGGGCAACACTGTCCCACTGAAGCTTGTTTGGAAATTAGCTCCTGGAAAGAGTTTTGATTAATAATTATGAGCAATTTTTCTTTTCCAGGAAGAAAGGCAAAACACTGAATGAACTGATAAATCCCTCTTCTTACAGAGTTAGTAGTGAATCATGATTTTTCTTTATTATACTAGCACTGCTGTCCCAGAATGGGTTCATAATGCTGCAAGCAGCAGTGATGCACGTATTCTAGAGAGTGAGGTCTTGACGTCCAAATTTTTTAGTAATAATAATGTCCCAGAAAGGCATGTTTTAAAATGTAACACATAGAAAATCATTTATTAACATGACTTACGATGGCAAAGATTTTCTAACAATTAATAGAATAATTTTGCCTCTGTGTATATGAGCCTAGTCTTATATAAGCTAGTCAGAGAATAATATGTTTTTTGTATTACCATGGTAGACTTTAAACTCAAACTATTTTATCTAATTACTTTCAGAGAACTGATTCCATGATACATCATGGAATCATATTCATCATATACTTAATACCATACTCATATTTCCAGGTCTAATGAAGAAGAAAAATTACTGTATGGCTTAATCTTTTGTTCACAGGTGAAACTGCTTTTAGGAGAGTCTCTGCAAAATACCAATAGACACATCACATTTACTTGACCTGTTTTTATTACTAATGAAGGTGTGAGTATACCTTTAGTGGTATCCTAAAGTATAATTACCATTAGTGGTAATTTCATAGCCCAGGTAGGATTTCAAGATCAGAATAAATCTTTGAATCTGTCACTATATTGAATCTGATATTGAGTTAGTGAAAGATAACAAGTATGCAAACTTACCAACTCATTCTTCCAAATACGTTTCACAACAGACCTCAAGCTCAAATTTAATGTCCACATTCTGAACTGTGCCAACAGGGCTATGAAGTCTGAAAGAATAAACTGTTTCTGAAAAAGGATTGTTCAGTGGTGGTAAGATGAGCTTAGTGGCATTCAATATCTTTACCCTCTGACATAGTACAGTTCAGGAACAGTTTTTTTTTTTTCTTCTTTAGTAGAACTTGTGGTGAACCACACTTTTGTCCAGTTGTTATGGCAGAAAAAAATGGAAGATGTTGGAGCTGTGAATTGGCCTGTGACCAGCAGCCCACACAATCCTGTCAGTCCTCACCCCAGTGAGCCCTCATCCGCCCCTGTGCAGAGCGAGTCACTCCAAGTGTGTATCTTTCATCGACAGTTTAAGCTAAAATGTGTGTTTTCATAATGACATAGATGAAGTGCTGCTGTGCCAAATACCATTAGGAGAGCTGACAGAAGAGTCTGGAGGTTAAACCTTCCTGAACTCTTTCACCTTGATTTAAAAGAGACTGCCTGATCAGAGCCTACATTCAGGGCATTTTGGCTGTCTTCCTGACTTGTGATGCAATTTAGGAGAGAGATCTAAGTTAATTTGAAAGACTTCTGAGAACAGCAGTTTTAAAATATTCCTTGACTGTACGCTATTTATATCTTCTGTTATATAAGTGTTATTTTCCTTCATTCTGATATCAGAGATTTGCTCTATCTTCAGGAAATAAATATCACCTCAAGGTAAATCATACAGCTTCTTATTAATGCAGCTCTTTCGGAGTATCAAAATCAGTGCTAAGCAATCTAGCAAGCGGAGGAAATGGTGAGTCATTATTAAATTTATGAGGAGCTGATTCATAAATCCTATATAATCACTTTTTCTGAGCTGACTTGGGAAAATCCTTTAAAGCTGCCTCACTCTGCTTGGCATCTACAGTAGCTCAGTGTGATAGAAAAGATTTACCTTTCCCCAAACAACTTCCCAGGGCCCTTGCTTTTCAGCTGACAATGAAGAAGGAGTTCGTAGCAGTGCATTTCAAGTTAGAGCTAGATTAAAAACCTTCTAAGGCACCTGAATTTAAGCAGAGGTTAGACATGTGAAACCAAAATCACAGCCCGAAGCCCCTCCATAATTCTCTCCCTCCGGAAGTATCTAAACTCCCTGGGTGCCTAACTTATTTGCCTCAAAACTTCCCAAGTGTCTCCAGACATGGACCAAATCTCAACAGCCCGAAACCTGATGAGGATCCAGAGTTAGGGGCTCATGTTTAACATGTAGCTTAGCCTGGGGCCCTGGTAAAATCTGTGGCTGTAGAGAAAAAGAAAAGGGGCAAAATCCAAGATTGATGTTGCCTGTTGAGTTAGTATTGGGGGTTCTGGGGTCTCATTCGGTGCCAGAAGCTCTTTGGATGTCTTCTCCAAAGGCTGTTTCATGCCAAAGCAACTCCTCATGCCTCTCTGGAGCCATAGGCTCCAGAACGATGTGTGTGCCTAGTTCCAGGGGTTTTCCCAGTGTTTCAGCCCATCTGCATGCCTTGATGTGCTGTGCTGACTGCCACATACCTGCTGTCATCCAAGGCTCTCCTCTTCGTGTGTGTCCTGACCATGATTCCTGCCCTCAGCACCTGCCTCAGAGCCTGGTTGGGGCCAAGCACAGGCTTCAAGGTCTGCTTTCCATACTCAAATCCAAGGGCCCCAGGCCTAGCTCTAAGCTCCAAGTGAGTCTGCTTTGAAATAACAGAAAGATCTGAGGACTCAGAAATCCTTGCTTTTGCCACTGAGTTTCTCCTGAGCAAGAATAAAATCCTGGCCAGAAGCTATAGAAGCAGTGTGTTGAGAGGAGTCTTCAAAATGCCTGAAGCAATTACTCCATGCACTCATTTTTGGAAAACTTAGATGTACTTTCTATCTTAGAATCACTATAAGCAACCGGGGTAACATTTTTAATTTCTTATAGCTTTGGAATACTTTTCAAGTTCAAGACAAGCAAGAGAATACATTACCTTCTCAACTTCTCTATTTTTGACCTTTGATTTTGATGACCATTATGTTTCTTTCTTCCACTGAGGAACAAAAGACCATGCAATATTAGAGAGAGGGGAAAGACTCTTGTGGCAAGAATGGGGAATCAGAGCATTAGTGCCTCTGACATAGCGTTGGCCTGAATACAGAACTAACAACATCCTCATTTTTTGCCAAAAATTATGTGTATTCTCCTAGGAACCTTCATTAATGTGCCAACCTAGCGGATGGGTTTGTTCCTGAAAAACCCTCTATGTATTTTTTACATTAGTGGCTACAACAGTGCAAACAACAGATGCCTAAATATGTTAAAATGATTGTTTTATCTAGTATGCATTGGTTTTCTGCTAGAGAACTGTGAAAACCACTTACCTCACTCATAAAGGATACATTCCTTCTTGTCTTTCTTTGCAATATCTCCGTGTTATTCTTTTAATCCATTCTCATACTTGACTTTTACAGGTTACTACTCATCAGTTCACATATATGTTTTTTCCTTTCTCTGATTTAAAATAGTGGCTCTTATTACCTGCAGTTGCCAGGATTGTTCTTTTATTTAAACCACTAGAATCACTTTGTTATATTAATAAATGAGAGGCAGTTTTCTTCAAAATGCTTCCCTCAGGCTTCTGCTATCTCAGTGACAATTTCTCCTAAAATTTTCAGAGGTTGTAGAGAGGAACAAACTCACAATTGCTCAATTCTCTCCAAGTAGAACAGATCTTAAAGCAGATCTCTTTTTGAAACATGATGACCACACATGATAACACACATTTAACACAGTGCAATCTTTATTTTCAGGCACTTCTGACATATTTTATGATTCTCTGCTATGGTATTGCTAGAGGGTAAGGTCTGGTTAGTTATTTTTTTCCAGTAGAAGAGTGTATTTTCCAAGGTTTTTCCTGTTTTCACTGACATAAGAAAGTAATGCCTAGCAATTGGTGCCTGAGAGGAAAGTTACTATAGGTAGAATTTTTTAAACTAGTGGACAGAGAGCAATTTAAGAATAAAGGATCAAAAAAGTAGCTCTGAGGTGTTTTTTTTTCCCCTTGGTTAATGGAGGAAACTATTATATATTTTCCTATATATCGGTTTTATTTTCCAGCATTTTTTCCTTTCCTTTGAAGCAACTCTGAGGAATGCATGCCCTTCGAAACAACTGGCATGACACAACACTAGCAATGTGTAAGTATAGATCATCAGGACCTTAAATAACTTTCCTGTTAAGTTCAGTGATCTGAATTTTCATCCTGTAAATGTAAATGCCATGTTCTATTTTATTTTCTGCTTCTTTAATGCAAGTATGAATAGAGCCATTATCCGTAAAGCCAAGAAGATCTGGCAAGACAGCCCTGCTCCTGGGCCTGGCGGTCATGGCAGCGTTTCAGCTTCCATTAAACAAATGGCAAGCGACTTAAAAAATTAAAAACAAAGCTGAATATTTAATAGTGGCTTTGCTAAACGAGTCTGCTGTGCTTCTTTCATTACACTGTACAGAAAGTGACCCCTCGTGGCAGGCGGGGACGTCCTGTGTCGGAGGGATGTCCGTCTGCCGCTTGCGCTTCTGCACTAAGGGTGCTCTGAGCTGCCGACTCAGCGGGGGGGGGCAGCAGTGACACTGGGGCTTGCAGAAGGGCGAGGGTCATAAAAAGTTAAACAACAGCTGCCCCATAGCCTCAGCATCAAGCTGTAATGAAGGGCCACTCATTTTGCTTTGTTCCTGCTTCAGCATGTTCAGTATAGGAGGATCAAGCTGCCCCAGACAATTATGTTTCAAGGAGATAACATGTTTTCCTCAGATGTTTTTCTCTGTTTAATCTGACATGAATCCTGTTTTGCTAAGGAGCGATTGCCCATCCTGTGGTGCTTGGCCGTGTCCCATGGCAGCAGTTCAGCTATCCCTCTAGGATGACCGTGCTCTCTCTGCAGATGAAGTGCAGGCAGGGCTGGTGGCCGCTGGCCATGTCGGAAAGCCTGGCTGCACTGGGTTCAAGCCAAGATTGTTTCTGCTTATCTCCATGAGCGGCCTTTGCACTCCTTTCTCGTACCTCATTGACCTTGGCAAGGGGATATTTTATCCACTTCAGAGTCAGGTTAGTTCCTTCTCCTCCTTCAACCGGAGAGGTGCTTCTGTGCTTATCATCTGGCCTTGCTTTCGTGCAACCTCAAGGTGTCTTCAGATGTCCTTCCCTTCCCACCCTAGACCTTGAGAAACCAACAGGAATCTTACTATGGTCATCATCATTGACTGGCAGGGAGGATTGCACTGGTTTCAGTAGAGAAGCTGAAAGAATGGACAAATGCTGTTTTTCATTCCCAAAGGAGGGTGTGCCAGGGGCTGATGGCCCTGATAACAGAGGCAGTGCCTGCTTACAGAAGTGGAGGGGAGCGCAGCGAGAGGGGCAGCAATGCTGTTCAGCATCTGGCTCCTCCTGAGATGCTGTAACGAAGGGGACAATGAATTAATGCAGGCGCCTCTGCTGTGTAAAGCGATAGCCAGAGTATCGCTGTGCCTTGAATCCCATTTTATCTTCTTTGTGGACTGTACGAGCTCCATCATTAAATAAATAGCCCAGAAAAGATCTTCTGGTAGGTTAGGGATTAAAAGCTTTCAGAGGATGCTCCCATTCTCTGTGTGCATTTTCATATTCATGCAAGCTTGCACTGGAACTGCTCCCTTAAAAAAGCTTATTGCTAAAATAGTCTGAATCATATTTGATAAAAACTTCTCAAAATGCAGCTCATAAAATGCTGCAGAATATGTCTTGTATGATACAAAGCTTTGAACTGTATCTCATAAAATACTCTGAAACCTGTATCTTAAAGCAGAGGATAGATCAAACTCTGCAGCAAATGAATTTGGATGACACTTGGTTTTCACAGTGCTGGGTTTTATTATTGGAATCTGCTGTGCTGGTAGAGGTGTGAGAAGGGGAGGGGTAGGGAGGGCTAGGAAAAGCGTAGATTGCCATTCTGTGTGGTGTTCCCAGCCAAGGAATATTTATGTACACACAGAACAGGGTGTTACTAGATAAGATTCCCCTCCACCCCTTGCAGTACAGTCACCATTTTGGTTAAGCAAAAAACGTAGCAATGCTATCACTTCTCAGTTGTGCAAGACGTTTATCAGATCCATGGAATAAGGCAAACACTATGCCTACCTTCTAATCTTTCAATAATATATACATATATTTGTCTTATTTTATGTAATAAGTTCCTTCCTTGGGGCTGTCAGGGTGGATGAATGCCTGCCATCATGGTCATGGATGGCTTTTGTTTTGAGGGAAGATTCTGCTGTGTGGGCAAGATCTGAACCTTACAGGATCATAGATCCTAGTATATTCCATACCCCTTTAGTCCTCAGTGCTGGCCACAGCAAAATTCAGTTTGCTGTTGACATTCAAAATCCTATATATAAGATTACTCTTAATAGTGCATATATATTCACAGAGCTCTGATTTGTGGTCTTGAAGGTACGGAAAAGCCACAGCGCTGCAGACAAGCCTCCAAGGACCCTCGTGCTTAGTGGCAGGCAGCAGCAGCCTGGCGCTTGCCTGCCCCGTGTCCTTGTAGGGGAAGGAAGCAGGACAGCACAGTGCTACTGACACTGCTGAAGGCTCTGGAAAAAGGCACAAAGAAAGGTACCTTTCCCTGATGTCAAGTGATGCCTTCAGAGATGCTTCATCCCCATGGTATATTGCTAAGCAGATCTCCATAGTGTCTCTTCTTGCAAGTGGGCACTGACTCTTCTCACCACCTCATACCTTAAAACTCACCTCACACCACATACCTTAAAAAATAAAGTAATAACAAGGCTATATAAGTGCATTTTTAACCTTCTCTGGGACATATTTTAGTCACTTGCAACAAAAAAGAGAGCCAGTACCACATGACAATTGCTTGTTACACACACCAGTGGTGACACATGGCTTGAACATGGCTGACCTAAATCATTAACCAGCGTGTGTCACCAACACACCGTAGATAGAAGTCTTGATGCCTTATGCAGGACATTCCACACTCTTCTCTCCTGATGACTCTAGCATTCTCGTGGCAACCTAGACACTCCCTGTCCAGAATTATTTAATACAGACTGTTATTGAGGCTGTTGTAGGCTTTTCAAGTCAAAGACAGGATATTAATCTATAAGACAGCATTGCAGAAAAAAAAAAGAAAAAAAGAAAAAGAAAATATCCATGAAAAGAAAATAAGAAAATATTAACATGCAGATGGACTTCATTTTGACCAAAGTGATGGCAGAGAAAATGTAATTTATATATAGTAGGATAAAAGGTGGTTTTGAAATTCAAATGTGCACCTCAGGCAACACAAAGAGAAAATAACTATGGTTTTGAAAGTTTCCTTCTTTGAATACAGTAGCAAGTGTCTCAGGCAAAATGAGCAGAAACTAGCTTTCTTGAAGATATCTTGCACCTGCTCAATAATTAGATGAGTTATTCAAATGCATGAGCCAGCTAATTGCTGGCTCCATGACTAATATGGAATTGCAGGGGTCTAGTATTTATTTTGGAGTGAGGACAGGAACACTTCTCTGAACTCGTGATATCTCAGTCAAAGAGTTAGAGCTGCTCATGGAAAAGCAGGGATTCTGAGATCACAGAATCTCAGAACGGTTGAGGTTGGAAGGGACCTCTAGAGATCATTTAGTCCCACCCCGCTGCTCCAGCAGGGTCACCCAGAGCACGTGGCACAGGGTGGCATCCAGGCAGGTTTGGAAGATCTCCAGAGAAGGAGACTCCACAACCTCTCTGGGCAGCCTGTTCCAGGGCCCTGTCACCCTCACAGGAAAGAAGTTCTTCCTCACATGGAGGTGGAACTTCCTGCGTTTCAACTTACACTCATTACCCCTTGTCCTATCACTGGCCACCATAGAGAAGAGTTTGGCTCCATCCTCCCTACAGTCTCTTCTCAGGTACTTGTACATATTGATCTGATCTCCTCAAGCCTTCTAAAGGTGCACCATGCCAGGCAGGACCAGGAACATGGGAGCAAGATCCTGCTATGACTGCTGGCCACAGGAAGGGGAGAGCATTTTGCTTCAGTATTAGGTGTAGGGGCACACGTAAGCCGTACATAGAGAGTGTGTGTGCACAGTGCACAATTTCTGATGGTTATTTTGGCTCTGGGTCTGCAAATGAATGATTTCTCAGTCTGTTGCCTCCATTATGAAGACATATTTTATATTTTTATTGACGCACTTTGACATCACACAGTTTGTAATACCATGTTTTGTTTTGTTTTCAGCTCTTTCTAGCTCTGAAAGGTTGTCTTCTATGACTTTTATGCCAGGCAGACCCTCTAGGGCTTCAGCAGAACCAGAGAATCAGAGTGACTGACTTTCCCAAGGGCTTTCTGAATCACATAGAAGGCTAAAAGGTTACCGGGTAATTCGTTCCTGCACTCATCTTAATTTGACAAAAAGAGATTTGGGGCATCTGGAAATGAAAAAGACTTTTGTTGGATTTTGCTTTATTTAACCAGTGATGGCTAGTAGTTATTGTAATTCTACAGTGGTCTTCTGAAGTCTCAAGGATTAATGCAGACCTGCAGCTTCTCCAGTTTTCTGTCACTGTAACACAGAACCTGTCTTTGACTCTTGATTTGGAGGATTACATCACAAATGCAATCAAAGTGCACTTTGAGGAAAAAAAATATACAAAAAAACAAAACCAGTGCTTTCTGTTTTTTAAAATTATTCTGTTAGCAAAAGGAATGGTATTAATGTAATATGTGTAGATTTCTATATGGCACCTGACCTAGCATGATGACTAAGCAGCTAGAAAGATGCAAATATGTCATGTATTAAATGAATTAATCAGTCAAGATGGGCTCAGGATGGACTGGGAACATTTGTTAAGTAGGTTTATTCTTAGGGAAATTAGTGAGTTCTTTACCACAAAAAATTTGGATATTAGAAAGGCATGTTTGTCTAACAGATATACTCTAGGTCAATAGCAGCTAACAGATTTTAAGTGATGGATTTGGGGAAATCTTAAATCTTGTATTAGGGAGTAGATAAGACTAGATAACACACTGGGCTCATCTGGCCTTCAGATCTATTCAGCTTATTCTTACGCTGTGTGGGAAGCCTGGCTGATATTCAGCCTCATTGAAATCACTGCAAGATCTTGTGTTAATTTCAGTGGCTGAAGATTTGATTTCTAACATCTGGTTTGTATTACTTAGGCTGTGAACTCTCTGGGGCACCAGGCTCTGAGAGCCTTTGTTTGTAGCGTGCCTAGTACAGCCGCGTCGTGGCCGAGAGTTCTTATTGCCGTTGTATTCCCTTGTCTTTGACAGTTAGTGAAAGCTTCATCAAGATAAGATTATTTTATTTTGACACTTCTCCATTGCAAAATGAGATTTGCATCTTGTCTTAGTTTACAGAATTTGTATTTTTGTCTAGAGTGCAGATCAAATGACACTTTTTTTGGCATAGGCTATTCCTATGCAGTTTCTTGTTCATTTCTATTCAGTGCTATGCACCAATATTACTTTAACTACAACTTTATGATGTGTATTGAACTCTGAATTTCACATCACTACATTCAGTTTCTAAAAGTTTTGAAAAGTGCATATTTTTTCCCTGGTAATTTTATATGGCCATCTCTTTGCACTAGCACACAGTAATCTTTGTGCTGTACTATTGGTTTTTTTGCTATTTTGTTTTTTTTCTTATGTCTTTCCTCTCCCACTAAACCCTCTCTTAAATCCTGATTCACAGAGAATTTATGTGCAGTCTCACTGAAATCGGTGAAATCCTTGCACCTTCTCATTGTAGACTCAGGACTGCAGATTTTCTGCTTTTGTGCGACTCGTTTGTTCCTCTGGGCTGCATTTCTGCAACTTTGCTGCTTCTGCATATGTGTATGAAGACAAAGTGCAACTATTGAAATAGACAAAGAATAGAGTGTCTGTATATGTGTCTGTGCACTACATGTGCATAACTAATAAAACAGCAATTATAAACCCGTTCCTCTCTGGAGACTTTTTGGCCCCCTGAGGAGAAGGAAGGAAAGAAAAAATAGATCCTATTAAACCACTTAGCCATTCTGCCACTTCTGTCAAAATCACTTACATGTGAGATGTCAAGTTGTCACAGTGTTGTGACATTGACACGCAGTTAAAACATGCTTGGAATAAGAGTTATTTGAGAGGTCTTGCTGAAGTCAGTGGGAGTAGCTGTGTGTTTGAAATTGTCCATGCAGTTTATTGGGCCATCTTGGCTTGAAGGTTCATTTGCACCATATCTGTCGTTTAACCATATGCTGGTCGTATATGAAATTCCCAGCAATTGCTTTGGGGTCTCAAAGGCTTGTGCTTTCTCCATCAGGCACCGTGAAAGCTGGTTGCCTTATTTTTTTCCTTTTGAACTTCCCAGCCCTGCAGCCCTGCTAGTGGGAGCCCAGAACCAGACCTGGCCTGTTTTGGTTGCTGGGATGTGAGGACTTGATTTGGACAAGTTCCCATGACACGTTATAAAAGCGCCTAATGTCTGTCTACAGCAATTTGCTCCATTTTAAGCACAAATGCAGCTCCCACATTGCTAGAAACAGCTTTAAAAGTTTCCAGTGCAGAAAAAGTCTGAAATGTCTATCCTCACATCCCACTTTCCTATTGCTGATCTCAAAGAAACAATCTTTGCCTTAGGCTCGTATTTTTACACTCATTTGCAACCTTGGAGTCCTCTGATGGCAAAACCATAATCGAATAGCCCTGCCAGAACTGAATTTTAGCCATACACATCAGATCCATCCAGCCTTTTCTTCTCCTTTCTATTTTCTCTTCAGTTTGACTCTCTTATGAGGAGTTCAGTGCTTCCTCCACTCCCCAGATCCCCATGTAGACTTGTGTAGCCTGTGTAGACTTGCTCTCGCTTTTACCGATGCTTTATATAATCTTTATAGAAGCCTTTCCTCAACACGCGCAGCATCCATGTGTTGGGTAGAGCCCATGAGAATACCTTGCAATAAACCAAAACTAAATAAAAGTGCCAATTTACATGCCACTTGTGCCACACACAGGTCTGAAGATACCTACCAGTTAGCATATGACTAGTATATTGATGAAAACTTCTTCAACAGGTTGCACAAAGACTATACAACTAGTGTAACTAGAGCCTTATTGTAATCATAGCGTTGCAGTTACTGGAAGAAGCTGCACACACTTAAAGCTGCAATCAATCAGTTAATGTAAAATACCTGTTAGGTTGTTCAGGGAAATCTCAAAATTCTCCTCACAAATCTGTAAGTGAAAAACAACAGTTATTCATTAATATGAACCCTGTGCTGAGGTCAATTCATAGTTTAAAATACTGTGCTTTATGATAAAAGACATAAAGAAAAATGGGTAAATCAGGTGTTTAATAGACCAGCAACTATGCTTAATTAGGCTGTGCATTTAAAAAATGACATAAAATCATCTCCCTTGAATAATTATTTTTTAAAAGAGCTATTTATATATATATTACTTGGAAATAACTCTGAAGCTTTGTTAAACTCTTGCTATGAAGGTGAAAGACACAGTGAGCTATTTTTAAACTCTTTTCCCCATTCTTGAGTCTTAGATACTTTACCTGCCTTTACCAAAATCACCTACAATCTCGCCAAAAGAAAATGTTGGTATTTATTGTTTGCAGTGAGTGGATAAGCTCAGCAGATCATGGTGGGGATGCAAACTAGCTTTATGAGGAGGAGAGAGAGGATATGCAACTCCTAGGGCTGTAGTTCTCCTCTGCATTAAGGAACACTTAAAAAAAGCAGCAAGGAATGAGACTTCCCCTTACTCAGACTTTCAGTCGCTTTGTATACATGTGCTTTGACAAATAAATGCTTGTTTTACCTGTGTCTAAACCAACCCAAGGCATCACGAGCAGATGGACACTGTAGCCTCAAAGGTACTACTATAATCGCTATCAAATGGGGCAGATTTACCAAAAAATATACCAAAATCTATTTGGCAGAAATCCGCCCTTTTCTGTATTTTCCATATCAGAAGGGACTGAAGTCATTTACTATCCATTCTTCCACAGGACCATAACAATCTTGCTTTAATGCTGCATTCAAGCAAGAGAAGGTCAGAAGCTCAGTTGAGTATCAGGAAGAATAAAGATTTTAGGTCCAGGTTGAAGAAATGACCTGTTTCCAGTCCCTTCTTAATTAAAATTCTGTTAGTTGGCAGTATGTTCTGACAAATCTTTATTCTTCTTTTCTAATTGCAGGAATGTCACTTCAAATACACTGTCCTCAGGAGGAACGTTCTTTGCTTTCTTGTCTGTTTTCAGAGGAGAGCACAGGAAATCTCATTGCTTATCATTTTCCACAAGTATGCTTTAATGGCAGAAGTCTGAAAGACAAAATGCCAATATGCTGATGATCTTGGCTCACTGCCCATGAAACTCAAAGTATAGAGAGCATTTTTTGGTGTCCAATGCCTAAAAAAACGATCAGATGTTGAGATGGAGTCATTGTAAGTGGCAATAGAAGGAAACCACAGAGTTAATCTCCACTACATTGCATGTTGAAACTGCAGCTTTACAAGGGCCCAGCAAAGGAATGTCAGGAGACAACTCTTATTTCCACCTAGTTCACCCTTTTCTCTCCCTTATGATTTCCTACCCTCCCTTATGATACCAATCCCTTATGATTTGCCCTCCCTCTGATTTCCTATACCTCTCATAAT